TGCAATTCAGATTAGAGCAGGATATACTTTGTTTCCTCCAGTAATACAATTCTGATGGCAAGAGCTCCCAGCTCCAGGAGAAGCCAGCAGTGCAAACATTTTAGAGGCAGCTGCTTCTTTCAGTATTCCTTAAATCAGTTAAGTTAGTGGAGAGATGGTCTGGGATGTGTGTATGGGTTAGGGTGTGGCCCCAATGGAATTTAAATAATAGATTCATAGAGCATAAAGAGTAAAATTATAAAATTATAGAGTCTTACAGCTGTAAATGATTTTAATCTTTTTATTCTTTTCTGTGTCTTAAGCGCTTCCGTGAATCTCTTTCTCTTCCTTGTCTCCTCATCTTCCCAAAGCAAAGAAGTAACAGTAAGAAACCTGTCACTCAAACTTTGCCTGCTGCCTTGGTAAACACAGACAGAGCTCCCAGAGGAAATAACCTTTCAGAAAACCACCCATCCTACTGTCTTGTTTGGGTACAAAATGTAGGGAGCCCTATTGTATGAACATACTACAGGCCCAACCTCTCCTCACCTAGGTGAATCACTGTAATGGTTGGTGCCTTGTGTCAACTTGAGAAGTTTAGAAGTTTAACTAAACAACTCAGCAGGGGGCCAGTGTTATCATTTTGCAAACATCTTTCTCCTGTGCAAAAGGAGGGCACAGAGATGGTGTGAGTGCTACACATGCCCTAAGGGGTAGTAGCCTTCTTACAATATTAAGGAGGAAAAGAGACTTGCTTCCCTCCCCCACTTTTGCTCTGGTTGCTTTTGCTATCTTCTGACACCTTCTGACACCCTGTGCCATGCCACCCTGCCTTGGAGCCAGCAGATTAAAGACTGCAACCCCTACAAACTGAGCTACATAAAACTTTCCTTCCTTAACCATGGGTGTAGGGTATTTTGTCTCAGCAATGGGAGAAAAGAAACTGATATATCATCATCTCCCGAACTGGCTGGAGATTGCATTGGTGACTCCTGTGGAGAGTGCTGTGACCATATCTGCCCACTCCACATTCACCGTGGAAGCTGTGGGAGGAATGCCTTTAGTGACCATCTGTCTGCACAACTGATGAAACTTTAGCGTGCAAAGCTACTTCAATGGGAGTCCTAGTCAGCTTGGGTGGGTTACAGTACATTCAGGATAGCAACACATAAAAGGAAGTGATCTCTCCTCACTGGTGACTTGTGCCTATTTTGTAACCTTTAGAGACCTTTTGAGAAACTGATGTGCAAGAACTCCAGAATGATCTCCAGAATGTTCCAGGCTATGCTATTGAAGGGTGTGCCTTGTGTGCTCACACTGAGGACTGGAATACTCTGGCATGGGTGGCTTTCTACTTAAAAAATTACTCTGTCCTTTCTAGAACCTGTGTTCTGGTCAGTGGAGGGATGTACCTGCCGCAAGATGTTGGCAATGAAATGGGGAGAGATCAGCACTGAAAACTGGCCTGGTGGTTTTGTAGAGAGTGGAGGTGTCTCACAGTTGCAGAACTGCAATTTTCCAAGGCTGAGGAGTGACTGAATAGCTCCTTGAGTGAGCCCAAATTCTGCTAAAGTTTAATGTGGGAGAGAAAAGATACTGCAGGCCCAAAATCTTTGGATGAAAGACCAAATATTTCTCTAATGAGAAAGTGGACAGGATGTAAGACTGGGTGTACAAGTCCTATAAATCAAAACAGAGTTTCTAACTGGGAGAAATGTCATGATCAGACATTCATCCAGAGCAGAGATTCTCAGACATTTTGTTTTCGGGACTCCTTGGAATTCTGAATTTTTTTGTTTGTTTGTTTTTTATCATTTTTGAGACAGGGTCTCACTGTATAATTCAGGCTGGTCTTGAACTCATTTTGTAGTCCAGGCTGGCCTCAAACTCGCAGTGATTCTCCTGCCTCAGCCTCCTGAGTGCTAAGATTACAGGCATGCTCTGCCATGCATGGCTCTCATCCTGAAAAATTATTGAGAACTCAAAATAACTTCGTCTGTATGAATTACATCAGTCAGGATTTACACATGCTATCATGTGGGTGTAGTTTGTCTCTTAAAGTTTCATATATTGGAGGCTTGATCCCCAGTGTGGTGATGTGAGAGGTGATAGAGCTTTTAAGTGGTGGGGCCTGGTGGGAAATCCTTAGGTCTTTGGGGGTGGTACCCTCCGAAGAGATTCTTGGACCCATTTCATCTTCTCTCTGATTTCCTGGTTTGGGAGGTGACCCTCTCTCACATGAGCTCTCAGTGTTGGGATTCACCATGAGGTAATGTGGGCAAGAGTGGTCCTCAACAGAACCTGAACCACGTGCTTGGACTTCCAGAATTGTGAGCTAAAGAAACCTTATTTTCTGTACAAAATTAGCTGCCTCAGGTGTTTTGTTATAGTAAAGGAAAACTAATATACTGTACTTGAAATAAAAACTGAGGATGTTAAAATTTTTACTAATTTATTTAAAATTATACTGACAAATCCATTATTAGTTAACATTCATATGAAAACTAGCTTGTTTTCCAAAACAATTGAGCAAATTATTAAACTTTCCTGTACAGATTTTAGTAAATCTTTGTAACACGTGGGAAATCTGTCAGTTAGAGAAATGGCTTCTATTAGAAGACTACTCCCATGTCTATTTCTGCATTCAGCCTATTATCATCTAACCTCTGAATGTACCAATGCACACCTGAGAAAATGAGAATGAGTGCTATGGTGTGGATGACTTGAGTGTGTCTCTAAAAGCTCTGTCTGTTGGAAGCTTGGTCCCCAGTCTGGCAGTGCTGAAGTGGTTAGATCATATAGTCTCTGTCCTTGGAAGGAATTAATGCTGGTTTCAAAGTACAAGTTAGTTCTTGCAAGAGCAGGTATTTATAAAGTGAGCCCACCTTACATCTATGTATTGGGCTTCTTCGAGACACAATCTATATCTTTTGTGCTTTTCCATGAGAGAGAGAGAGAGTAGTGAGAGAGAGAGAGAGAGAGAGAGAGAGAGAGAGAGAGAGAGAGAGAGAAAGAGAAATTTAGATTCCTTCTTTGTCTTTTAGAAATCTCAAGTGGAAGCTTTCAGTGACAGAAGTAATTATTGCTCTCTGTCTGCTTCTCATCTCCTTTATGGGCTCAGAGAGAGTAGAGAGAGAGAGAGAGAGAGAGAGAGAGAGAGAGAGAGAGAGAGAGAGAGAAAGAGAAATTTAGATTCCTTCTTTGTCTTTTAGAAATCTCAAGTGGAAGCTTTCAGTGACAGAAGTAATTATTGCTCTCTGTCTGCTTCTCATCTCCTTTATGGGCTCAGAGAACAACTCTTGCACCCCTTTTAGGGAGGTCCATGTAAGAAATTCTGGACAATACTTTTGAGCAGGTGGGATGTATGTTGTCATTTCCAGTATGAGGTAGTCTATAATTCTCTTTTCTTGACACAGCAGAAGACCCTGAAAACCATGTGAACAAAAGACAGTGACATAAGTTGTTGGAACCTCCATTAGACATGAGTAATGAGGGGCAGCAAGACCTTTTAAAAACTTGAATTGGACATAAAACATGATCTAGAAATGAACTTTTTGCTGTGTTGTGCTACTAGAATTTTGTGGTTAATTTGTTACTGCAGCATAACATGACCTATCCTGACCAATAAAAATATTATATCCCCAGTTTTGCTTTAGATTTTTTTTCTCTTTTCTATATATCTTAGAGTACCATGTCAAGCCACAAGAAACTTTCTACTTTTTGCCTCCATAGTATTCCACTTTATTGATACAAAACAATTTATTTAAGTAGCCTAGTCTTTTGCTGCACAGAGCACCCTGCAGTTTTCTCAGCTAATGTGTATGTAGTGGCAAACAATTTTTGCATGGAAAAATTCAAAATTTTCTCTGAATACCTTTCTTAGATGACACCAACTCAACCAACATATGAGGTTGGGGAAACTTCCAAAAAAAACAAGAATAGACCACTTATTATTCATTCAAGGAAAATGGTGCTAAAGCTTTTGACAATGCATAAATGGCTTTCTAACCTTTGAAAATATGATGAAAATTATTTTTAAAAACTTAACCTTGACAACTTCATGGATCAAACTCAAGTTCTCTCCATTTTTGACGTGCCACTTTCTTTTTTTTTTATTTTAAAGATAAAAGGAGGGAAACATTAACAGACATACAACATTTTACAACATATCACAAGCACAATACATACAATACAGAGTTAGAAACAAAGTGGTAGGGAATTAACAATGGTGGTTGTATTACATATTGATATCTTTCAACATATCAGTATCATCCGCAGTCCTCAGCTCCATTAGGCACTCCAGACACAGCATCTGATGGAAGTAAAGAAAACTTTCTTCCCTGTGTCTCTCTTTATTAACTAGCAATCCTTCCCTGAGAGGCTTCTAGCAGCCTTCTCTTATGAAAAATTGAGCATAACTGGGTCACTTGCTCCAGCTTAAGCCAATCTGCTGCAAGGAGGAGGGGTTTCTCTGATGGGCCCCCCTGGTCTGCACGCAAGCTGGAGCCACTTAGGGAGGAATGAGCATGTGGATAGGATTTGAGTTTGGCCAGTGAGAAAGGAGGGTATTGGGCACTGACAAACACTGGTGTCTGTTGCATCGAAGATTGTTAAGCCTAATTTTCTTTACCTGTAAAGTGGAGCAGTAATAATATTAAAAATAATAATAACATTTATCCTAATGGTTGCTATACAGAGTAAGCACAATGGTGCATGGAAGGTACCCAGTGCAGGTGACCTTGGCTATTGCCACTATTATCATTGTTATTAGGCTCCTGGAGAGTAATCAGATTACTCTTGGCAAGTAATCCTCCAAACCTTGTTTCTAAGATCTTTAAATACCTCATTCATACATACAAACGGCAGCAAACCCCACAGCACACCCAACAGGTAGAATAGCCTCTCTTTTCTATCGATAATATCCCCTAGGTAACGCTTACTTCTTTTTTTAACCCTAGGTCTTGAGTGAATGAGGAGACTGGTCCTGGCTTGTACAAATCTGAGAAAGGGATTTGGACAAGTTGCCTTTTGTCCCCCATTCCCAAATAGTTCTGCACTACATATATATTGGCTGGGAAGACTTCAGGATATTTGATACACAGAAAGATTAAATGATCTCAATGAACTTTTTCTGTTTCTGTGTACTTTGCAGTACTGTAAATGCTTTACATTTATTTTTTTCTGATCTTACCAACAAGGATGTGTCCATGTATTCTTTTCGTTTATGTATTCAACATATATTCTATTTCCTGTCATTTCCTTTCACAGACAATGAAACCAAGGTGCAGAGGAGCTGACATGTTCCTCTTTGATATGTTCAAAGAGACATCTCTGGTAGGTGGCCAGGTTGTGATTTATGCTCAGGTCTATTTGTCTCCATTGCATGCAAACCATTTGCAACTTCCTTTCTTGAAATCTTCCTCAGTGTTCAATTTCATGAGGCTTTGCCAATCAAACACGGGGAAGGCCGGGAGTAGTTGCTGCATGTCATCACGTACTCTAAGGGTTGAAAGACAATACAGTTTGTGTAGATGACCCACTCTGATTACCCACTTCCTTGAAATTCAGGGTTAGTCCTGCTGGGCTCCAGCAGGTGGCAGGCTTGTATCAGTCAGGGCTTGCAAAGAGACTAATGGTGCAGAACCGCTCTTGAGCGAACTGTAGAAATCATCACTCACCACTTTTTGCTCCTACTCTGCGGAAGCGGCAGCTGGCCTTTTTTTCAGCCACCCTCAAGTAAGAAGTGAGAGATGAAATATATTGCATGGGAACTGGCTTTTTACTTTTGAAAAGTGCTCCTGGCTATGTTCTACAGATTCATCCCACCTACAAATGTTGAAATATTTAGAAAAGGTATTATTGGCACATATAGTTATCATTTACATTACATTTATCTGTATAATCATCAGAAGTCCACAGAGTGGAGAGTAAAGGTTATTTATTTTTGTTCGGTCAGCATCTAGCATGGTGCTTGGTGAGTGTAACTGCTCAGTTGATGTTTGCAAAACGTTTTAGTAAATAATGTAGAGTAACGTGATCTGAATTTGAGCTTTGATGAGCTCATTGCACATTTAAAAAGCTTTTTAATAAGTCCTTTGTGGGGGTTGGGAATATCTCAGTCTTAAGAGATATTAAGAGAGCATGTGTTTAGCACATGTGAGGCCTTGAGTTCAATCCTCAACTTCCCCCGTCCCCAAGTGATTGATTTGTTCTCTGAGCCTCAGTCGCCTCATCTATAACACGATGATGAGGATGATCACTAAGCTCACTTGTGAAGGTAAAAGGGGTAGGAAAAGGACTTGATATAGTACGTTTTAGAGGTAGATGACTAGGTCCAAGTATAGTGAAGTCTAATATGTCCTCATAGGGAATATACTGTGAAATTCCAGGGTGTGGAATTTAGCCAGGCCCCATGGTAACACTTCATCTATGGTTGGTATACCCTGCTTACAGCTCAAATACATATGTAGTCACCTCACATGGAGAATTCTTGAAGTAATCTACTTACTGTCTGTCCTAGCTCAAAGTTGCGGTCACTTTCTTGGACACTAGTCTCTAAAGGTGTTTTTTGAGGAGGCCTTTCTATAACTTGACTTCAATCTGCTTTTCTCTCCTGACCTCTGTCATATCCAGACTCCTGTCCATTTGTACAGGGTCTGCAGCAGGCTGCAGGTTTAATCCTGGAACCTGGATGCCCTGTGCACGTTCACCCCCAGCTGTGTGTGCTTTCATTGTGTCCTTCCCTAAAAGGCTTTTTCTTTGTCTCTGCCTGAACCACATCCCAATCCAGGTCCCTCCTCATGAAGGCCACCCTCAGCCCATGCAGATGGCCCAACTGTGAACTCCCTGCGCTTTTAGGAAGCTGCATAGTTCACTAGGTACATAGGGGAGGTCTTGGTGTCAGACAGTCTGGAATCAACCCTAGCAATTAAATTAAATTTTGTGTGACTTTTCTTATCTTTAAGACAGCAGCAATAGTTTTAACTTCATGAAGTTTTTGTGGGGATTTAGTGAGATAAGAACTATAAAAAACTTAGCAGAGTAAGTAAGTAAGCATTCAATGCTCAGTAGCCATTCTCATTATTATCATTAAAGAGAGCACTTGATATTTTTTATAGCTTGTTTTGGATTCTGCCTCATCTTCCTAGGTAGACAATCAATTTCTTGTATTTAAGGGCTGTACTTTTAGTTCTTTATAGGCCTTGTGTTATGTGGTACGCAATTCCCTGAATATGACAGGTACCCCAACAGTTTTTACTGCTTGATCAGTCATACCTAATAGTAAAAAGTAAACCTGATCCTCAAGATGATTTTTAGCAAAGTCATATAGACATTGATGGAGGATGTCACTGTCACATGGTGAGAAACTGTAAAATCTTCTAATCATAGACAGCGAGCCATTCAAATTCACAGGATAGTTTGTGTAACTGTAATACACATTTTTCTTAAGACAAACAGTTTATTTTCTACAACTTGGGTATTATCTGTAGGATCAGGAAGAAAAAAAAAGAGAGAACACAACAAATGATAAAACAGTATTGATGCAGAATAAGGCATTTGTAAGGCTTATCACCCACGAGAATAGAAAGGGCTGGAATTTGTCCTGCTCGCGGGCTTTTTCCGTTCCTCTACACAGCTCTGGCGTTTTGTGGTGTCAGGATGAATAATGGCCCAGGGCCAGAATTTCTACTGCTTTTCTCCTTCAGGTTTCAGGATTCTGAAACAGAGCACTAAACGGCTTTCTCTCTCCCTACCAGGGGGAGATGTGGCCGCAAAGCTCTTCTCAGCCCCGAATAAAGAGGACGGTACCTGTGGCCTCAGGAGAGGGTGCTCAGTTTCCCCCATGCTTTGTGTGTGTGCTGGGAAACCCGAGGGTTAAATGTCACTTCTCTAGAGAGGGAGGGAGTCTTTCAGCACAGCAAAGTAGCCTGATCTCACACACACTGTGTGCTCAGTGCCCCGGGTCCCCCTGCTGGCCATGAGAAAGGAGAGCAGAAAACAGTTCTGAGAAGGAACCCTGAATTTTGTATCTGCAAGTGACGCCTATAGACAGGCAAGCAGATGCTCACTGAGGAAACGGGGGGGTCAGTTTCAGGTTATGACATAAAATAGCAAGAGATCATAAAGAAAGGTAGACTTGATCATTTGTCAAAAGATGGGCCCCCAATGGGCCCACTGTAAGTCCACAATATTAAGTGAAATAAATCTGACAAACAAGCTTAAATATAGCATGATTTCACTTACATGAGAAAGCCAAAATATAAATTAAAGAGCAAATAAAAGATAGATAATAAGAACAGGGAGACAGATATTTTACAAAAAGAAAAGGAACCAAAGACGGAGGAAATGGAGAGAACAGGATGGGAAAAGAATCCAGAGGCATCATGTACATGGCCCGAATCCTCACCATGCATGTAAGTGTTTGGTACTGCACACATGGACTAATAAAAATAAAAAGATAAAACAGAAAAGAGAAGACCAACAGCAATAGTAATACAGATCTCCTTTTAGAGAGAGGATTAGCAGCTGGATTCAGCTCTCAATCTAAAATTGAAATTAATTTAATATATGATTCTAAATACAGTGTATGTACACACATACACACACACACACACACACTCCATTGGGGAAATATCTGTAGCACAAAACTGTTGTTTTGGCTTTTAGAGCTGGGTGAAAAGTTGGTGGGGATTGCTAAATAGGCCAGAGCAAAGCCACCAGCAGGCCTGCTCCTCACCCCAACACTGCCTTCCCCCAGCTTGCTTTAGTCCTGTCTAATGCATGACTCAGCTTACCCAGGTGCGGTGGTGAGACAGGGCATAGAAATACCGGAACGAACGTAGAGAGTAAGAAATGTGAGGATGCCCAGTAGGTGAGTGTCCTGATCACTGGCCCAGGTTCCATCACCTGTGCGGCTTCCTATGGGGATTTAAGGCTCGGCCTGTGTCCGTTTTGGTGCTGTGACTGGTGCTTCTGCGGTACTGCAGGGACCACGAGAGAGTGTGCGCTACAAACGACAACACAGAATAGGCAGCGGAACGACTTCTTGCAAACACAGAAGCAGGGTGCTTATCACCAAGAAGTCCAGACAATGAGGAATGAAAACCAACAACGTATGTAACAACCCTAGACCTTATCTTGGCTCATTTTTTAATCACATGAAAACTAAAATGAACACCACATGCTATATAATGACAGCAAGATATCTACCACTCCGGAGAAGAAACAGTGCGGAAAAAGCAAAGATGGCAGCCAGTGGAACACTCTGACAACACAGCAAAAGAAACAGTCAGGGTAGCTGAGGAAAGACCGTGCTTACCGAGTCCTGGCCGTTCTAGAGATGTGATACCGCTAGCGGCCAGTAGGGGTCAGAGGTGCTCCGCGTCTCGAAGAGACTCCAGGCCAAACCTTGGCTTGGCACCTTCAACCCCGAAGTAGGAAACCAGCCAGAACTGCCCAGTTTTCTCCAAGTAGAGCAGAATCCTGGAAGCAGAGGAGTGGCCGATCACATGTACTTTCCCACAAAGGCCCATTTTGACTTCAAAACAGTGTGCTTATTTCATACTGCCCTTCACCTGTACACTTCTATTCCATTTGTTTCCAGATAGGAGTCCCTTTATCGATAAGGGGAACACATGCTTGCACTCCAGGCCAAATCTAAATTTTACCGTCTCCCAATAGTGCTAAGCTGAGGACCAAGCCTGTAATACCTGGGCCTTCGGGGACATTCCCTGCACGAGCCAGAGCTCTCCCGTGGACGGCTGGGAAACACCCATGAGCTCACCACTGTTCCACCCACTGCGCGGTCCATGCGCAGGCCAGCACGTACCTAGAGCGGAGAGAAGGGAGCGTATGGGATGGCCCGGAGGATCGTCCAGGGTGAGTCCTTCCAAAAACTACAGTTGGCAAGTCCATACAGATGCCTTTTCTATCAAGGGCAAGCAAAACATCAAATAAAAATTTCCTCAATACTTTTAAATTCTTGAGTTGTAAGGCTAAGTGGCCCGTGAAGCCATTCACCATCTTGCCCATTCTAATTCTGAGCCTTGAGAAAAACATGATTCTTAGACCAGTTTTTATTGTTTCTGTAAAGCAAAAATCCAGACGAAAGCACAAGCCACCTTTCTCTTTTGCGTCACACCAGGAACTACAGAACAATGTGTGCCTGCTGGTGTCACATAATGGTTGTGCAAGTCATGAATTTAAACCCATAAAGTTAGCTTTCCTCAGAGAAAACACTGTTTTGTAGACAGAGACTCTTACCATAGTTAATCCCTTAAAATTGCTGGAAAGCATGCATTCGGAGTCTGCTATATCATCATGTGTGTAGCATTTTCTGCAAAGGAAACATATGTCCAGGCTGTTACGGAGCAATCTAGGTTTTTATCTTTGTAATTATAGACTTTGAAATAAATTATTGGCTTGGTGGGATTCTGGCCACTTAAGGAAAGTGGTCAAATGAGGGTGCCAACTCGCTGGGCTTGGAAGACGGATGTGGACAGGAGCTTTGAGGACATAAATCGGTGTCATGAGGTAGTGTGAGCCAGGTTTCTCATTGTTAGGGAAGAGAATAAGGATATAGAAAAGCAAAAACCTAGAGTGAATCCTGTAGTGTAGGATTAAACTAGAAGTTTTGATGTAAATGTAGAGTTTTCAGTATATAGAGTTAGATATAGAAATAAAATATTATACTGTAGGCATACACATTGTACCTTCATATCCATTTATACCAACATGTATAACTCCATGTACTGAATTAAATAATGATAATGATTACTGTCTTAGCTCATTTTCTCTTGTGGCTGGGACAAAACACCCAGTGAAAGTGAAAGAAGTTAACTTATTTCGCTCACAGTTGGTAGAGGTTTCAGACCATAATCAGCTGGCACTAAGGCTGGTGGCACAAAGCAGAGGGGTAATCATTCATGGAGGTAAAGAGAGCAAAAGCAATGAGAGAGGGCAAGAGAACAGATAAACATTTCTCAGTCCTTTATATTGTATGCACGCTACCTGCCCTAGATCAGGTGTAGCCCTCACACCTCCAATCCCACCACTAGACCATGAACCAATCACAAACTCTAGATTCAGCTCTCTCCAAAAAGCCTGCCCCACTCATAACCACTTGAGGCTTTGAGGGGACATCCACACACAAACCATAACAGTTACACAGCATTGTGACTATTCTAATACCTGGTGAATTGTACAATTTAAAATAGTATTTTTAAAGCAAGGTAGATATAAATGATATGCACTATTAAAAATTATGAAAAATATCTTTAAAATCAGAGAAAAAATAAAGCAAGGAATGGAAGACTTTATTCAGTTTCATCATCATAGATATAGGGAATACAATACAAAGGCATTTTATAGTCAGGAGAGAGCTTTACTCAACTCTGAATATAACATGGGAAAATGGGAATTTATAGTCACACAGTGGAGGGGAGGTCAGTGGGTGAAAGTTACTATGAGGAGAAACATCAGAGGCAAAGGGAATTCTGGCTAAGTAAAATGGTACATTTTATACTGTGTGAGCTTGCCTTTGAAAAAAATTATTTTAGCAAAAGCAGAGGTTGCCAGCACTACAGTTGGGGGGATAAAAGTCTAGAGGTAGGGTTAGCAGAACCAAGATACTGGGAGGAAGCCCTAGGGGCTCAGCTCAGCTCTCTGAGGATGAGGGACACCTGGGTTTGCTGGTTCTTCTGAGGGGCATCAGAGGCTGGTTTTCTGTCGGCTGAGATCTGGAGTCAGCCACTGCAGCACACGATGCTGCTCCTGGGTAGATATTCCCAGGAAGTGCTGTGGACAGGAAGGAGCTCCCTCCGTGCCCACACCCCCTCCACCTCCCAGTGCTCTAGGGCTCCTTCTGGCAGTGTCTCACAGGGAGCTCAGCAAAATCCTGGCATGGCTCAGCAATTCAGCCTGTCAACAGGGGTTTGAAAAGTAGATTCAGCTGAGTGTGGCAGTGCACACCTATAATTTCACACTCTGGAGGCTGAGGCTGGAGGATAACCATGAATTCAAGGCGAGCCTGGGCTGCAGAGTGAGTTCAAGGCCAACCTGAAGTATATAACAAGGCCCTGTCTCAAAAAACCAAAATCAAAACCAAAGCAAAAAAAAGCAACAAAAAAAGTGGATTTGGAGCTATGATAGTCAGTAAATTACTAACACACATGAAATCTGTGAATAATAAACAGCTTATACTTGGGGAGTGGCAATTCTAATTCTTCCCTCATATGATTTTATTCTTTGTGAGAGAGTGATTTGTTGTATCTCAAACTCAATGTTGCTTAGTTCTGGAAAAAATTATATGAATAATTCGATAAATCAGAAACAAAAGTCCTGTCATCTCTTTTGTATATGCTAATTTACATTTGGAAAATGTCTTCCTCTCTGTATTTCTCCCAACTACTTGGCTCTTAGTATGAAGGAGGAAGTCTGCATCCTTCTATGCACATGCTTTATCACCTGTGCCTTTATTACACAGCGTCTGTCCTGACAGAAGGCTGATGCTGGGCAAATGTTATTCTCTTTTCATCCTGAGGCCCTTTCTGCCCATATCAGTCCATAGCGAACTTTTCTCCAGATTCTGAATCTCTATGTGGCAAATTTTCTGGGCTGTGCTAGGACACTTACTATCTTGAGTTAGTGACTAAGGTTTTATATATGTGCATTTCATCTCCACCATCTTCATCTCCACCTCCTGCAGCTGTGTTTTCTCACATGCGGAGGACAGTGAAGTCACCATTCTGTTCAAGTTCTATGAGATCAGCCCGGTTGAGTAAGATCGTGTGGTCCTTGTTCTTCTTCGTCTGACTTATTTCACTTAACATAGTAATGTCCACTTCCATCCATGTTGTCACAGATGGTAGCAGAATAGTATTCTAGGGTGATATGTACTGCATCTTCTTTATCCATTTATCAGTTGATGGACACTTAGTTTGTTTTCATTTTTTTTAAACTATTGCAATAAACATAGAAGTACAGCTGTCTCTTGGACACACTGATTTCATTTTTTTGAATATATACCCAGTAGTAGGATTGGTGGATTATAAGATAGTTCCACTTTTTAAAAGCTTGATAAACCTTCATACTGGTTTTCATAATGGCTGTGCTAAATCACATTTTCCCCAACAGTGTGCAAGCGTTCTCTTTTCCCCACACCTTTGTTAGCACTTGTCATCTTTTGCCATTTTGAGACCTGTTACTCTTCCTGGAGTTAGGTGAGGCCTCGCTGTGGTTTTAACCAGCACTTCCCTGTTGTTTACTGACGTTGAACACTCCTGCTCTCCCCAGGTATTTTTTGGCCACTTGTGTATCTTTATTGGAGAAATGGCTATGTAGGTCTTGTACTTCCGATCTTTTGATTAGGGTGTGTGTGTGTGTGTTTGTGTGTGTGTGTGTGTGTGTGTGTTTGAGTTCCATACATATTCTGGATATTAATCCATTGTGAGAAGGATAGTTTGCAAATGTTTTCTTCTTTGACTTTTTAAAAATCTTTGATTTCATTGACCATGACGCGCTGATTAATGCTATTCCAGCGCCTTTCATATTACTCACTAGGAACCCTCTCTTCACTGACATCAACTATCATTTCCAGCTCCTCGTATTTTGATTTGAATGACTATTTTCTCTTGGATGCTCAAACCGTAAGATTATCAACCTGCATGCTTTCAGGAGAACAAGCAGGTGTTACATAAAGGAGTTAGGCATGAGGGAATGATGGAGACTGAGGCAAGCTGAAATGCCCATGCTCAATCAAAATATCAAACTCTGCAAAGACACTGTGTGGGAACCAGGGATGTAGCTCACCGGCACAGTGCCTGCCTGGCAAGTGCAAGGTCCTGAGTTCGATTCCTGGTACCAAAAAGCCCCCCTGCCACACCAAACAAACAAACAAACAAAAAAACACTGTTTGGGCCAAACAAAAGCCCCTCAGGTCAAATGTGGCCACAGGTTGCCTGTTTTGAAACTTTAGAAGTCCAGATCAAAGAACTTGAAAAATGTGGCCTTTTCCATACTTTAAAAGTTACTGATTATACTTCCAAGGTGGTGATTTTCGATTCAAGGCTGGCTATGAAAAAATGTCTACATCCAGTAGGTTTTGGGTAGAAAACACTGATCTTTTCAGTTCTCAGTATAAAGGGAAAATTATGTTTCCCTGATCATTTATTTTGTTTCGCCTTAAAAAAGATTAAAATCTTGTGAAAATGGTACCTCACAAAATATTTTTATGAAATTACTATTCTAGGTGCCTCTGAAAATGTAGCTGAGATTCTTACTGATAAAAGCATGCATTTGTGAGGCTGCTGCCCACAACGTGAGCAACACAGCTCCAGACTACTGTCCATGGAACAACCACTGACTGACTCCAAGCTGGCTCTACACTTTTGCTTCCCTTTTGCATGGGGCAGAGGAGGTATGGACTAAGTGACAGAATCCTGGGCAAGAACAGTGCCCATGGAGAGGAAGTAAGCCTGGCTGGCCAGCAGATCCAGGGGCAAAGTATGGGCTTAGCCAGCAGCCTCAGGGTCTCTAGTGCTACCTTCCCCCAGTGACTGGGTGAGAGGCAGCCACAAGAGGCTACCACAGGAAGGGTGTGGACTAGGCACAGACCCCACGAGAAGTTTAAGCTCAGGCTTGGCGGGACATGGACCCTGCCCTCCACAGGAAAAAACCAAGTCCAGCGAGTGTTGAACCCTCACCCTCTGTCATATGCCCAGCAGAGACCGGGGGGCTGATTGCTTCTCCCATCTACCAAGGGGAGTGAGGATACACCTCAGAGTGGATTGTTATTAGAGTCTGGAGTGAATGGGCAGAGGGGCCTCTCTGACCCACAGACCCTAACGCATGGCAGAGAAAAGCATGACTGGCTGGATTTAAGGACTGCAGGTCCCTGTGGGGAAAAACACTTATTCAAAACAAAGGGGAATTTTTTATTGACTTAATTTAAATTTTTTAAAAAAGTTATTATTTCTTGCTTTCCTTCATCAATATTTTGGGGGGTTTA